AAAAATTTTTCTTTTTACGAGAAAGGATATTTCGATAAGGCTAATAGAGAATTAAATGCTGATTTTTATCAGATAAAATTTATGTCACATATTAGAATTCTTGGAGAAATTTCAAAGTGCACTTAGGTAGATTTCTCATAGAAAAAGGCTCATTTTTTCGTATTCTCCAATGAGTGCCATGCGGCCAATCTCAGAGATCCCACGCTAATTGTTTTAGAGAATTGTAGCCCAAAGAGAGTACTTCAAAGTTCTAATAATCAACACCCCAGACAATCCATTTCTTGGGAGAAAGCCTATCCTGAAAGTCCCCGCATTGATCAAAATTCCGTTTTTCACGGGATTGACCTGAGCAAATAGAACGGCATGGATAGTTGAAAATTTCAGGAGAAATACATCTGTTACTGTCCTATTAACAGTAAACATTTGAGAGTCATATATCATTCCTATGAAAAGTTCTAAAGCCCCAAATTTACGGAAAATGGACCTTTTTTTATATATTGAATGCTTCATAAAATCCCAATGGCTCAATATTTTAAAGCGAAACATTTATGGTAAATAGAATTCACTAAGATGTATGGCAATAAAAAATTTCAGCTTATTTCGTTGAGCCATTCGTGAGAGATCGTTGCATTAGGACCCCTATTTATATATATGGTCATTTTTAGGCCTTTTCATAAAATGCTCATAAAAAATCGAGGGTTCAATATTTTTTGAATCGGCTTGCGTCAAAAATCATAGAACTCTTCCCTCTATAACATATCTCAAATTGAGCAAAATCTGACGACATCGATTGAGCAGGATCTCGATGAAGTCGGTCGTGGCTTAGATGGACTGGCTCTTAAGTACTGCACGTCATAATAAGCATGATCGAGTAGATGATGCTCGAAGAATTGTAGCGCAGAACCCGAAATGTACGATCAGGTATGGATGGACAAGACTTAATTTATGCAATGATATCTGATTCTTGTTTCAGGAATCTGATAGGATATCTTAAGATCGGATAGGAATCGTGGTGTTTGATCCTGTAAGGTGCTGCATCTTTGACTCTTGCAAGATTTTTTGCTTGTATCTTATAGTCAGAATCTGATGAAACATTTAAGAATGAAAACTTATTTGATCTGACAGTAAGATCATACGAAAAATCTTGTATGGATAAGATCTTGTATTATCTTGCATGGTCTGATGTCTGCTTTTTCGAGCTGGGGAGGTTGGTCTAGCTGTACCTCTGACTGTAATCTAGCAATACTCATATCCACATCTCCACACTCTTGATGATGATATTACAATCGTCGCTCTACTTTAAAATCTGCAAAAGTTCAGAATGGCACTAGCTTTCATGACTACATGAGAATGATTGAGATACCAATGCATTGAACATGCGAATTAGACTGCAAGCTTAACCATTTTCTTTTGGCTTTTTGTTAACACTGAGATTTCCTTCATATCGACTCGATTCCCTATACTTGAAAACACCCTGCTGAATATGGTTTTCTATTTCTCTATGGAATCAATAATATTATCGGATGGTCCAAAAGTAAGGACAAATAGTAGGGTGTGGGTGGTGTAGGTATGAGTGGGGTGTGGGTGTAGGATGTGGGGTGTGGCTGTGGCTGTGGCTGTGGCTGTGGGCGTGGGTGTTATTCTTCTCTATAATAGCACCCACACCAACACCCCACACCCACAACCACACCACCCACACCCCACACCCACAGCCACACCACCCACACCCACACTCACACCCTCCATTTTGTAGCAAAAAAATATTGTTTTAGAACGATCGGAAATTGATTGCTCAACATTTTGCTTATTATGAGAACAAAAAATGCAGCTTTAAAATAAGCCGTTCTATGTAAATTTCAAAACTTGTCACGCTTCATCTAATGATATATTTTATTTTTGCAGTAAACCTATTAAGTAATTAAAAATTAGAATGTAAAGCATGCCTATTTACCCGGCCTCACATGCTAGCGAAGTTGTACATGAAAACAGTTCTTATTGAAATGTTATTATTATAATATTGATTGGAAGCTGACAAATAACACATAGCAATAGAGCACCATTTTCCCTCTCACTATATTAAAAAAAGGAAATATATTCAAGCTGTCTATCAAAGGTATTAGATGATAACGCCGCTACTTTTGTATATTCTTTTCAGCTCCCGCCTCCGATGCACAGATTCGTATTTGGCTCGACGAGCAGATACGTTTTGATCCAGAAAAACCACATGTGGCTATGTATAATATGCCTTTTCTATATTACATACGACATGGTGCCACTTTATCGATTACACGTCTACATGATGCTCTACAGCTAGTTGTCATGAAGCATGAAAGTCTTCGAACATCGCTGGTTTTTGATACTGAGAAAAATATTCTCATGCAGAAAATTATTGAACCAAACGAAAATCGAAATGATTTGTTTACATTTGTCAAAAGCATTATCACAACAGACGAAGAATTCAACAATATTATGCATGAAGAGCGCAAAAACCCGTATCATTTCGATCTCGCTCGTGGTCTTGTCTTCCGATGTCACATAGTGTTCCAAAAAAAGAATGCGAGCAAGGACTGTCTTTCTGAAGGAGACGGTCTCATTTTCAATTTCCATCATGTTCTATTTGATTTTCCTTCAATGGACGTGTTTCAACGAGATCTCAATGAAGCGTACATGACAGGTCAACTACTAAATGAGAATGAATCAACTCTACGTTATATTGACTGTAAGATCTACATCTATCACTATTGTCACATTTATCTGTATCCTTGTATTATTTAGATACCATCATTGAGAAAGAAATGCCAATGACTGCTGCAAGTACTTTTTGGCTTGGCTATCTTCGCGATTGTAAGATAGATCAATCATTACCGCTGCCATGTGATAGACAACGAGTTCCTGGTGAATGTCGAACCGGTCGTGGTACTCGGGTTTTTTTTAACTTCGGTCAAGATCTTTCGCGAGCATTTCTTGCTCATGCGTCTGCAAGCAACACAATACCCGAGTATATGGCTCTTGCTACTTATTTCGTGTTCTTATTCAAATTGGCCAATGGAGAAACGGATTTGTGTATTGGAATAACTGCTGACGGTCGCTGTAAGACGGAACTAATGTCTGTGATTGGAATGTTCGCGAATGACATACCTTTACGATGCCAACTTGATCCAAGCTGGTCGTTTGGTCGAGTTGTCGAGGAAGTGCATCAAATGGTCATTGATACTTCAAATTATGCTTACTTTCCACTTCAGCGCATTCTTGCTCAACATCCACTTGCATCTAAGCCCGTTTGTCTTGACACATCTTTTCAATTTTACGCAACATCAGCACAGACAACATTCAGACAAGTGATACTGGGTGACGTTTCTCTTTCTGTTGTACCTTATTCGATCCAAATAGAATCGGATGAGATCGTTAGCAAGTTTGATTTTTCTCTTAACATCCATCATGACTTGGTTACTGGAGAACTAGCAGGTGAAATTAACGGTTCAACAGATCTTTTCGAGTCAGGTACAATTGACAAATTCGCACAACGGTTCCAAGTCATGTTAAGACAGTTATTTGAATCTACTATCGACTGGAAAATAGACCCGATCTATAAACTGTCATTGCTAGTACCGGAAGAAAGTCATCTAATTCAATTAATGAACCGCATTCCTGCTTCTTATTCTTCTGTCAAATGCGGACATCAAGAATTTGGTGACCGTGCCTTAGATTTTGCTCAGAAGGTGGCTGTCGAACTCGAGAATCAGTCTCTGGCATATGCTGAACTTTTGCATCATTCTCAGCTTCTAGCTCTTCTGCTGCTCGAAAAGTATCAGATCAAGCCTGGTGAAATCATCGCTCAATGTGTCGAACGAAGTATATCAATGGTAGGTTTTTTTCTATTTCAGTACGACTCTAGAAAGTCTATTTTCTGCTTTTCAGGTAATTGGTATCATGTCTATTGAGATGGTTGGTGCTGTCTATTGTCCTTTGTCACCAACAAATCCCGACCAACGTCTTTCGATGCTTCTAGAACAAGCACAAAGTCGTGTTGTTCTTGTGCAGAAGTTAACAGAAGCTAAATTTGACAGGAATATGATTACGGTCGATATTGATATAATAGCGAGTGTTGATAGTGTAATCGATGATACTGACATCCAAACTTTGTCATCAATCCTTGTGTCGCCTGAAGATACCGCTTACGCTATTTTTACAAGTGGTTCGACAGGAATACCCAAGGCAGTTAGTAGAGTATTCATACAATGTCTTTCTTTAATACAAACAGACTCATCTTTATTGATAGGTCCAATTGCGACATAGAAATTTTGATGTTTCCATTCATTCATTCTTGGAAATTGATAGCATCTGTGAAAAAGACACAGTAGTACAAATGGCAGCGTGCTCGTTCGATGCACACATACTAGAAATTATAGGATCCCTGATTATTGGCGCCTCAGTGATTATGCTTCGACCTCATGGGAATATTGACTTAACTTACTTGGCAAGTATTCTGAAAAATAAGCAAATATCATATATGCTCTTGGTGCCTACACTACTAAATAGTCTATGTGACTTTCTCGAAAAGGAAAGCCATATTGATTTAGCGACGATGAGATCGATTTGTTGCGTCGGTTAGTAATGTGAATAAAAAATAATAAAAAGACAAAGATACGCATTCTTTTTTTTTGGTTTAGGAGAAGTTCTTCCACGGAAACTTATCGATCGACTTAAGCAGTATATCACGCCTAAATGTCATATTTGGAATTTATATGGTCCAGCTGAAATATGTCTAGGTTGCACATATCATTTGGTAGACTTATTGAATAACACAACCACTATACCCATAGGTCGACCACTACCATACTACCGATGCTTAATTTGGGATGAATTTGGAGAAAATGTTTTCGTTGAACAAGAAGGTGAGCTTTTAGTTGGCGGTCTGGGTTTATTTGCTGGTTATCTGGGACGCAATGATTTGACAGCAAAAGTCTTGGTGGAAGTCGAAAATGTTACATACTATCGTACAGGTGATCTAGTTCGCATGGATAGCAGTGGTCTGATTCAATACATGGGCCGTAAAGATAATCAAGTGAAACTGCACGGACAACGAATTGAAGTGGAGGAAATTGAGCAATGTTTACTAGATACACACATTATTGGTTGTGCAGTCATTAAATATGGAGATAATTATTTAGTGGCTTACGTTCAAGGAGCTAATATCGATGAAGAAAAACTTCGCACCCATTGCCGTACTCATCTTCCGCCATACATGATTCCTTCGATGTTCATACTGCTCGACCAACTACCTTTAAATGCTAATGGAAAAGTAGACCGAAAACATCTTCCCGCTCCTGATTTATCGGCCATGAATGTTTCGATGACAACTAAGTATCAGCTTCCACGTACAGAAACAGAAAAACGAATACACGACATTTGGTGTAAATTGCTAGCAAAAGAAGGTGAAGATATTTCAACTACAACAAGCTTTTACAGTGTGGGTGGTCATTCGTTACTTCTGATGCAACTCTATCACTTTTACCAATCTTATTTCAGCTTTGATAGCAATATACTCAGCATTACATCATTTTTTCAGCAATCCACCATCATTGAACATGCAAAATTACTTGATACAATCAAGCCTACTGTTATAAAGTCGAATACATGGCAAACTCTGGGTATTAGCGAAGGTAATATGATCTTTTATGGAAATCTTTACAAAAAAGGTGTCATTTTGAAATTTGTAGGGGTGGCATCATTTGCACAAGAGCGCATCTTTTTCGATGAGCAAATGCGGTTCTCGAACAATTTTGCTGCCTACAATATACTGAATGTGTTTCGAGTAAAAAATGGTTCTATCTCAGTAGATCGCCTCCAAAGAGCAATCCGATCGGTCTTAGAAAAGCATAAAATACTTCGAACGTCTCTTGTTTTTGACGCTGTTGATGGCATCTTGAAACAATGTGTCCAACATACTCATGAGACATTTACTGTTGCAATAGACCAGAGTTTCGCAAACGACAACGAACTTTATTCGATTCTTCAGAATATGATTACTAATAAATCTCTGATCGATTTGTCAGAGGGTCGCGTTATTTACTGTAAGATTCTCCGGAATGCATCTTTTGATAATACCGATAAATGCGACCTGGTCAGTGCTTCTGATGTAGTTCTATTCGCGTTTCATCATGTCGCATTCGATGCAGCATCGAACCGTATCTTCTTCAAGGACCTGTGCGATGCCTATAACGCAGATAGGCCATTACCAATAAATGAGCATTCTTTGCAATATATTGACTATTCTGCACATGAACGTCAAATGGATATGTCAACATCACGTATTTTTTGGCACTCTGAAATGGAAGGATATAACTTTGACTATCATTTGGCATTACCAGTCGATCGACACTGGTCATCAACTGATAAACGGTCGAATATGGCTTGGACTTTTCATGTATTGCTTGATAATCATCTTTCAACTTCGTTTCTAGAATATGCCTCTTCACATAACTTTACACCATTTCAACTTGGTCTAGCTACATTCTATGCGTTTTTATTCAAGCTATGCAACAGACAAAGAGACCTATGTGTGGCTTGCGTCAATGCTAATCGATATCGAACTGAATTAGAAGACCTTGTTGGCATGTTTGTTGCTACTCTTCCGTATCGTCTGCAGCTTGATCCTCATAGATCCTTCGATGAACTTGTCGAACAAGTTCGAGAGAAATGTTTGTCAATTCTCGAGCATTCTCATTATCCACTTCAATACATTGTAGCTCAATTGAATAAACCAGACTCGTCTATGTCTTTCGTTAGAACGGTATACGATTTTACAACGGTTTCTGTGGATGATGATCTCTCAGGTTTTCATGACTTGGAAGTTGAACCTTTTCCATTAGAAAAATTGGACGCGGTGGCCAAGTTTGATTTTATGCTGGCATTCTCTTATAATCCATCATCGGAAAATGAAATGTTATCGTATTCATTGATCTGCTCTCGTGATCTATTCGATGAGACTACAGTTGCAAGAACAGCCCGAAGCTTTGAATGCCTTCTTTCTCAACTCTTCTCATCGAATTCAATTTTAGGTCCAGCGAATCAATCAAAAATACCACTTACTAAACTATCCCTTATTCTACCAGAAGAACTTGCAGAGATAGAAACTTTAACATTTCATCGGCTACTGAACTGCACCAATGCAGGTATTCTGTGTAGTGCTTCATTTCGTATTATCTCATGCCATTATCTAAACAATGAGGAGTATTTGGCAAATGTATAACGCAAAAGCATTTCATTTTCATACTTCTCTGAACATTAGTTTTGATTATTGTTTGAATTACGTTCATCCAAAATATGAGATTATTTCAGTGGACGCTAGAAATATCAGAGATTCAATTATATCTTAATCAAACTATCCTGCAGTCTATCCTAATAGCATTAAAATGTCTTCTTCACAATACTTTGAGGGAACACCTGGAATGAACAATTATATTTTTAATCTAAAGGATTCTTCTATTGAAGTACTTTCTCTCATTAAATTATGAAAAGCAATATGAACAAAGACCATAGAGCTAAGCAAGCTTGAGAAATTAGCAATATTTGTTCATAAAATTTAAAAGACTTTCTCTTCTCACGTACGTATTCACTGTGAACGAAACGTACTAACATTATGTTGCTAAATATGAGGACAGAGCAAGATTAAGTCTAATCACTTTCAGCTACTGCCATACAAATACTGAGGTTTGTTGATCGAAAGAAAATAGATAAAAAAATATATCGTTGGTGCATTTCATAGCTCTTAGTGTTTCCGATTATTCACAATACGTCAGCCAGTATTGACGATGTCCGGCCTTGAGTAGATCATAGTAAAAGCCAGCCTTAGTTGAACAAGGCTAAAAACCAATAGTTTCAGGCTCGCTGAAAACACGTTTTCCAAATACTGTTACTACATTTTTAGGTCCTGCCTCTTACGCTCAAAGTCGCATATGGCTTGACGAGCGGATACGTTTTGATCCAGAGAAACCTCAAGTGGCAATTTACAATATGCCATTCCTGTATTATATTCAACATAGTAGCATATTATCAATTACAAAATTACGTCGAGCTCTACAATTAGTCATTATGAAACATGAAATTCTACGCACTTCGCTTATGTTTCACAGTGAAAAGAACATTTTAATGCAACGAATCATCGAATCGACGGATCACGATAAGGAACTATTTACATTCAAAGAGAGCATCATTGAAAGAGACGAAGAGTTGCATGTTATTATGCATGACGAACGAAAGAATCCCAACCATTTTAATCTTTCTCAGGGTCTAGCTGTCCGATGTCATGTTGTTCACTACAAACATAACTTCAAATATGACGAACTTTGCCAAGGAGATGCACTCATCCTTAACTTTCATCACGCTATGTTTGACTTTCCATCAGCCGATCTTTTTCATCGAGACCTCAATGAAGCTTATACAACAAGTCAACTACTGCTTGAAGATGATTATCCTTTGCGCTACATTGATTGTAAGATTGAAATAAGACGTTTTTTTTCTACACATGATAAATTTGTCTGCAATACTTTAGATGCAATCATTGAGCAACAGATGCCCATGAGGGCTGCTACAACTTTTTGGCTCGACACTCTTTGTGATTGTAAAGTCGATCAACCTTTACCATTACCAGTTGATCGGCAACGTATTTCCGATGATTATCGCACTGGTCGCGGTACAACAGTTTCTTTTGACTTCGGCGAAGAACTCTCACGAGCTTTTCTTGCTCGTGTTTCCATGTGTAATACGACGCCAGAATATATGACTCTTGCCTGTTATTATGCATTCTTATTTAAGTTGACAAATGGAGAAAAAGATTTGTGTATCGGAAGGAATACACATGGCCGTTATAAGCCTGAACTAATGTCATTGATTGGCATGTTTGTAAATGCAATCCCATTACGATGTCAACTAGATCCGCATTGGTCATTTAAACGTCTGGTCAATGAAGTCTACGAAATAGTGACAGATGCTATGAATTATTCGTATTTCCCTCTTCAACGTATTCTAGCTCAGCACCCCCTTGCATCTAAACCAATGTTTCTTGATACATCTTTTGTTTTTGGATTAAAGAAAGGAAGCGAAATTTCTAATGAAATTATGATTGGCGATGTTTGTCTAGGTCTTGCAACTCACTCAATCAGCATTGGAGCAGATGAGATAGTAAGCAAGTTTGACTTTTCGCTTAACATTTACCAAGATTCAGTAACTCAACAATTATCATGTACAATCGAAGCATCACTTGATCTATTCGAAACAGAAACAATCAATAGATTTGCGCAGCGATTCCATATCATGTTGAAGGAATTATTCGAACAGACTTTTGATTGGCTCCATGATCCTATCTATAAACTATCCTTAATGTTACCAGATGAAACTCAGCTAGTAAAATCGATGAATGAGGTTCCAATACCATTTTCTTCAGTTAACTGTATACATCAAGAGTTCATTTATCAAGCAATTGAATTATCGCAAAAGGTGGCTGTAGAACTTGATGATCAATCCGTAACATACAGTGAACTTCTTCATTTTGCGCAGGTTCTATCACTACATCTGCTTCATAAATATGGAATTAAACCTGGAGATATTATCTGTCAATGTGTTGAACGAAGTATACACATGGTGAGTCTTTGATAATAACTAAGCGTAAATGAATTGAGAAACAAATATTCATATTTGATTAGGTTATTGGTATCATGTCAATTGAGATGGTTGGTGGTGTCTACTGTCCATTGTCACCTGAAAATCCGGCTCAGCGTTTGACTATGTTGTTGCAACAAGTCGAAAGTCATATTGTCCTTGTTGACAATATGACACGAGATAAATTTGCCGACGATATCGTCACATTAAATGTGAACACAAATACCAATCCTTATTGTTTCATCGATTTTGCAGATCTTGATCGACTGTCGATGATAAGAGTGTCATCTGAATGTATATCCCATATTATTTTCACTAGTGGCTCAACGGGAGTACCGAAAGCGGTTAGTATAAAATCAACATAATGTCATAAATCAAAGAATAATATCTGTTGTATTTCCTGTTCAGACTAGGCTTCGACATCGAAACTTCAATGGTTCTATGCATTCACTTTCTATGGTACGCGTCTTTAGTGCGAGAGATACGATTTTACAGGTAGCCGGATGCTCATTCGATGTCCATATATTGGAAATTATTGGATCTTTAATAGTTGGTGCTTGCGTGATTATGCTTCGACCACAAGGAAACTTTGACTTCACTTATTTTAGAGAGACGCTACAAACTAAGCAGATAACATTTTTGCTTGTTGTGCCATCATTTCTTAACAGCCTATGTGACTTCTTTGAAAAACAAAGTCTCATTTATTTATCAACAATGAAATCAGTCTGCTGCGGTGGTACGTAATAAAAAACTAAAAAATAATGAAAATATAGCTATCTTCAACATTATTTAGGTGAGGTAGTTTCTCGCAAACTACTTGTTCTATTGAGAAAATATATTCCAATTGAATGCCGCATTTGGAATTTCTACGGACCAGCCGAAATTTCTGTAAGCAGCACTTATCATCTCGTAGATTTGGAAAGGGATAAGATGATCATTCCAATCGGTCGACCACTACCATATTACAAATGCAGAGTTCATGATGAATACGGCCAACCAACAATGGTTGGGCAGCAAGGGGAACTTTTAGTTGGAGGTGTTGGCGTCTTTGCTGGTTATCTTGGTCGTGATGACTTGACGATAGAAGCTTTAGTTGAAGTCGACGACCAAATGTATTACCGAACGGGCGATCTGGTTCGGATCGGCATCAATGGTCTTATCTACTACATCGGCCGGAAAGACTATCAGGTGAAGTTGCATGGACAACGAATCGAAGCTGGTGAAATTGAACGATGTTTACTCGATGCTCATGTTACTGCCTGTGTCGTCGTTAAATCAGATGACGACCATTTGGTGGCGTACGTGCAAGGATCTGATAACAGTGAAGAATCCTTGAGGTCACATTGTAGTTCTCGCCTACCTTCGTTCATGATTCCCTCGATGTTTATTGTTCTTGATCAGCTACCTTTAAATGCAAATGGAAAAGTGGATCGGAAGCGGCTTCCCACTCCTAACTTCTCTATAGCTAATGCATCCACGGAAACAAGCTATCAGGCTCCATGCACTGAAATGGAACAGCGTATACATGATATCTGGTGTCAAGTGTTACAAGCAGTTGCCAAGAATATTTCAACCACAGCAAGTTTCTTTAGTATTGGTGGCCATTCGTTACTCTTCATTCAACTGTACCATCATTATCAGTCATTATTTAGTTTTGATAATCAAATGCTTGGCATAGCACCTCTTCTTAAAAAAGCTACTATATCTGAACATGCAAAATTGCTTGAAACAATCAAGTATGTTAACGTGAAATCCAAAGCATGGGAGACACTTCAAATCAGTGAAGGTAACATGTTGTATGTTTAGTTCCTTCAAAAGTCATGTCTTTTCAAAAAATTGCAGGTCCTGCATCCTTCGCACAAGAACGAATCTATCTCGATGAACAAGTTCGCTTCTCACAAAAGACTGCTGTCTACAATGAGTTATTAGCATTTAGAGTGAAGGCAGGTTCAGTATCTGTAAAACGTTTTGAACGAGCTGTTCGATCAATTTTGGAGAAGCACACAGTACTGCGAACTTGTCTATTCTTCAATAATACAGATGGTTCGGTAATGCAGAGCATCGTTCATGATTTCCATAAAACTTTCACTTTACCAACACAGAAAATGTTTAAAGATGATATTGAATTGGATTCAATTCTTCATGAAATTATCATCAATCCATGTCTATTCGATCTATCAAAAGGACGCGTACTGTACTGCGAAATTCTTCGGCATATATCGCTTAACAGAAACTTTCAAGAGGATCTTCTTAATACTCCTGACGTAGTCTTACTTGCGTTCCATCACGCGGCATTTGATCGAAGTTCCGCTCCGGTCATCTTCAATGATGTACGCGTCGCGTATAATACGGATAGTCGATTACCAACAGAAGAAAATTGTTTGCAATATATCGACTATTCTGCACATGAACGTCAAATGGATATGTCAATATCCCACGAGTTTTGGCAATCACAAATTGATGGTTATGATTTTAATTATAACTTACAGCTGCCTTATGACCGACATCGTTCAACTACTCATGAGCGATCGAGTGACGCACATTCTGTTCAGTTTTCACTAAGCAATGATGTTGCAATGGCCTTCCTAGCATATGCCTCATCGCATAAAGTTACTCTTTTCCAACTTGCCTTAGCTGTATTTTATGAATTTTTATTCAAATTATGCAATAATCAAAGTGACTTGTGTGTTGCTTGTTTAAATGCTAACCGATACAGACCTGAACTAGAAGATCTTGTTGGCATGTTTGTTGCTACTCTTCCGTATCGTCTGCAGCTTGATCCTCATAGGTCCTTCGATGAACTTGTCCAACAAGTTCGAGAGAAATGTTTGTCAATTCTCGAGCATTCTCATTATCCACTTCGATATATTCTTGCTGACTCTCGCCAAGAACAAGCATCAACAAGTTTCCTTGAAATTGTCTTCGATTTCATCACTGCTTCGTTAAGCAATAATGAACTAATTTTAGATGGTGCACAACTCGAACCAATTGCACCACATTACTCACAAGTGGCTAAATTTGACTTAATGCTGGCATTTGCTTATTATCCATCATCAGAGAATAAAAAAATTTCGTGTTCTTTAATATGTTCGCAGGATCTATTTGATCTGACGACGGTGCAGATAATAGCTGATCGATTTTCTGTCCTCTTGCAACAGCTCTTTGGTTCACAGAGAGAAGCATCGACAAAAAGAAAATTGCATGAACTATCCATCATGTTGCCTACTGATCACGATCTATGCCGTCAATTGAATGATAGTGGTGAATATAACAGCGAAAAATTGAACTATACACTGACTGAATTATTCTACAAACAAACGATGAATCAGACACAGAAACTTGCCATTGAGCTCGATGATCAATCTTTGACATATTTTGAACTCTATTACAATGCCCTACTACTTGCACAACATCTTGTGAAAGAACATCACGTCATGTTGGGTGAAATTATTTGTCAATGTGTAGAACGAAGCTTATCAATGGTAGGTTCTGTTTAGAGAATGATAGTGAATATTTAACGAACGGCCTTTTTTCTAATAGTTGCTTAAATCACTCTATAGTTCTCTGAATTAATTCAGTACAACTTATGAGTTCATATAAACATGCACGTTGTTCGTATTGAGTAAAAAAATATTATAGGCTGGCAAGTGCGAGCAATGAAAAAGATGCATAGGATATCGTAGAGTTGCAACCAGTAATAGTAAACGACATGTTCAGCGTGTAAGTCTTTACCGATCGGTTGAGAAGGATTTTTCCAGACCGGGGAGAGCAAAACTTTTTGCGATTTTTTCTTTACTTTTTTCTGTTTTTTTACATCTTTACGCTTTTAAAATTCTGTCAAGGACCAATTCTATAAAGAAAAATTGATTAGAGTTTTTCTCTTAAGTATTTATTGAATTACACTTCATGTTTTATCCAGTCCCTCCACGCAGTCAAAAATAACAAATTAACACGTTAAAGCGACCACTTTCTCTTGTACTTTGAACGCATTGTACACTTCGACAAATGTTCGATTTTTCCGTTTTAACAGTTGCTGTAGTTTTGACTATAACATCGTTAAAATGAGGAGAAAAATCAACATTTAAACGCGTTCATTTAGTAAGCACATTAAAACACAAAGGATCGGACATTTCCCATACATTTTAAGGGTTGCGAACATTTTGCACCAAGTCATTCCGAACTCCTGTCATATGCTCGGACGTTCTGAAATCGTAACGAACTCCAACACCGGAAGATCCTAATGACAAGTTATTGCGAAATACCTTTTCCCACGCTTTAACACGTTTGACGAGTTTGTTTTAACCTTATGGATTAGGGTTCATTTTCAACGAGTATTATATGATTTATACTTGCGGTAGTATAGACTCGACCAAAGAAACTTATACTTACAAGGCATCCAAATTACGCTTAATCCAAACTTACGTATTACTTCAAGAATTCTTTTTTGTACTTATATTTAACGAAACTTAAGCGTATTGATATGCAGCTGATATTAATAGTAGAAGTACACCAAAATCAAAAATGTTTCTTTAAAAATTCTCTTCTAATTAAGGATAAATTACCATATTATCTTTAAATCTGTTTTTTTTCCGAATTTTTTTCCCAAAATAATGATTAAAATCATTTAAATTTATAAAAGCTAATCGGTAGTAGATTATTTGATTTTCAATAAAACTTGTTAAGATTATTAGTGACATCATTTAAATTTCAATCTATTATTATCGGCTTTTAAGCAGAGTATGTAGGTTTTTTATAAATTGTGATCAATTACAATACATAAATCAATGCTGATACAATTTTTCTTTGTTTTTTTAATAATACATGAATCGATTCCACATGACGCAGAATCTCGATGCATGGTATAAATATGAGAGGTTAATCTAGTATCGCAGTGATTTTTCTTCGACTCGTATAAAAAAATCGATTGAAAAATCAAATAAAAAATTAACTAAATAAGACTTAATCAAAATTAATTTGTCTTTCAAGGCTGAAAAATCTAGGTCGACTCATAGTATAACAGTACGATTAGAATCATGTTTTAATCCAATTTTCAGTCCAGCTCTTTTATATAAGGAGTCCAGAAATTAAAAAAACAGCAAGAAAATTTTCAACTGAAAGTGAGAGAGGAATTGGTTTTAGGTTCAACAGTATTGAAACCGATGTTTCGAAATTGTTACTGAATTGAATCCTTATTAGGGTTAGGAGTCTTATTAGAATGGTATCAATTCAATCATTCTTTAGTTAAAAACAATAAAGGAAAATGAGATTACATCTACATGAAGATGATAAATCGAATTCCGATAAAATCAGTTTTTTATAATTTGACCGAAGTATATTGAATATTCTTTTTCAAAGTGAAGTTTCTACAGTACATCAGATCATACCCGAACGCGAATACAAATAGACATATTTAATTCAATGTGGGTATCCTGCAGTACTAAATCAACAATAAAAGAAAAGCATTCATACTATTGCCTGTTTCAAAATAAAAGACACCTGGATATTTTTTGAATAACTTCTGCTGAGTACACGATATTAACCTGTAGTCTTAACCATTCGAAAGTGCAATTTTGAGGTCATCAATCCATATAATATTCATTAGGACGAATCATGTTTTTTATAGTAGATTTTCGATTGACATTTTTTCCGTTTTGTATTTTCATGTATTTTGGCATTAATCTCTGCTCTAATTACGCCAAAATGTAGCTTAAATCACCCTTTTATCCCTATATAATTATCACATTATTCATTATCCTGTCTACCACTTTTCTCAAGCGGGCTTGCAAAAATTGATGATAGTTATATAGAGAAAAAAAGCTGATTTGAGCTACATTTTGGCGTAATTAGAGCAGAGATTCATGTAAAAATACATGAAAATACAAAACGGAAAAAATGTCAATCGAAAATCTACTATAAAAAACATGATTCGTCCTAATGAATGTTATATGGATTGATGACCTCAAAATTGCGCTTTCGAATGGTTAAGAATACAGGTTAATATCGTGTACTCAGCAGAAGTTATTTAAAAAATAGCCAGGTGTCTTTTATTTGAAACGAACAATAGATGCTTCGTCGTTTAACGATCATGTCTAAACATGTCAAAACGCACTCTATAGGTCATCGAATTAAACACCAATGAAAGTTATTATTCCTTGTGAATCCTTCATGAAAAAGCTTTCGTTTTGACTTGAAGTTGATGTTAAATTTCTTCCTCTTTCTACTCCTCTCTTTACCTAATATCCAATAAAAACGAGAACACGCGTTAAAGCGGTCTCATGACCTCAATAGTGCACTAATTCCATTAAAACGTGTTCGTTTCAGACGATTACCATTTTCCCATGTTGATTGATTTATTTTCTCGACTCAATCGGTTTTAAAGCATCGCCTCGCCCTTTTTTTTACCTTCAACGCATAAAAACAGCGTTTTTGAAGTTTATCTGTCTGCGGGGTCCCTCACTATCACATTCTGTGATCGAAATAGGATCAAACCATAGTTTCTGTTCATAGTTTATCGAATATTTACTTCCCATTTATGTAATTTCTCTGGTTTCTCTCAGAAAGATATGTCGTAGGACATCATATGCGTCTGTATTTAGTTGTAATGGTCCGGGCTATAGTATAATAATTTGATATCGGCTTTCAGAAGCGTGACGCGATAACGTTTTTTCCATTATTCTCAACGACTATACTACTCGAAGATTTGATTATTCTATTAAATGATGCGTGTGTCTATTCTGTCGGAATCTCTGAAAACGCGAGTTCGTTTGGGTTAGTTGTTCAAAAACTCCGGCAAAAATACTGAGCAAAGCGCGATGATGAAAACTGGACAAGACCTTGAGAAAGACGCGTTTATTCTTTGTTTTTCTCTCAATGAGCACTATATTGGAAAAAGATCGATAAGAGCTTTCGAGTCGATTGTATGGAGTATTTAAAAACTAAATAAAATTATTCGAAAAGATCATATACTAGTTCCTTATTTGAGTTTAAAAAAGGTAACACGATGATGATTTTGTAATGCGATGACGAAAGTCAGAAAGATGTGATCTCTTTTTTTACTACCGAAATCCTGTTAATGATTGGCGAATTTGAGCAAAAGTACTCACCCTTGTAACAAAGAAGAGATTTTGATAACTTGGAGCTAGATTCTACAGGGTAAAACTATTAATATTGCAACTTTTTTTAATTTTCCACGATTAGAGTTGACACGATACAATATTTTTTTGCCGATATATCCTATTTAAGACTATGTAATATTGAACTTCAAAAAATTAGTATTTCCTCAAGATTAAAGAGTACTGAGAGGAACTGAGGTATTGAGTCTCTACTACCAGACAGTCTTATTTTAACTAAATTACAATAGATGCATAATGAGGCATTACACATAAGCCACACCCAAAGTTTCTCAACTGATGTCACCGATTCGGCTGATATTTTTCCAGTAAGTAGGCCTAAGTGTCTTAGAAAGAAACTGAAAATTTCTAATCAAACGGATGAGCTATTTTGGAGATATCGACAATACAAGCATTATGGAATAGGTCCAATTTGAACTAATTTATAGTGCAATACTTTCCAGTAAATCCCTATTTTCTCGAGAACAACAAGAGATATAACCGAGATTTTTTTTGCCATAAATACTATTAACGATGTGCTATCTTTTTATGGTAATAAAAGTATTTCACTGCTGAATGAGTTTTGCCTGTCATTAGATACAACTTTCAGTAAACATCCTCACATATATATGACAAATTTGTCGACTCAGTGCCCTAGAATAAATCGAGAGTAGTCTTCTCTGAAAAAGCACAACAAAATGCATTGATCAACGTTTTGAACAGTTTGTGGTCTTGAACTTTCGTAACGAACATTTTTTGAACAAGATTAGAAAGGTCAAATTTGAGATTTGATTCTCATTATGTAGATTGACACTTTATTTCCAAATGTTTGATTTACGTATATGACATGGAACCTGATATTGAGAAACTTCTAAATTGAAAATTTCAGCTTATCTCAACTTGTCTGTGAAAAATGGTGTACTATTCATTTTTGTGAAATATCATAGAATAACATATATAGTCCGTCTAGATTTTCTCAGTTTCGCATTTCAGTTAGAGTGCAAGCAAAAGATCTGAAACTTTCACGATAAGTTATACTCATAAAGCCCTTCCTATGTGGAAAGTTTCAGGTCAAAATTCGAACTCTGATTTCGTTTAGAATTATATATGCGAAATTGCCGCAGTTACTCTCGGG